CCACGTCGACGGCGTACCGTGGCGCTAGAATTCAAACCACCTGATCTCATCGGTGAGTTGAAGGGCCCGGTTGTAGTCGAGCGTTTCCATCTTTACATTTGGTATTGTTTTCTTACCTCCATATACTTAGCATCAGTTACTTTCCACAATACTACCCTCCATCTAATGATGGTGATTAGCGTTCATGAGTTGCACAGGTGAGAAGACTTCTAGGCATAACCGTGTTGAATAGCAAAAGAGGAAGAAGGTGCTGAAGCCGTGCTCGCCCAGCAAAAATGGCAGGCCCAGAACAAGGAGCACTGGCGTCCGTGGGCGATCCGACCGATAATATCATGAAGATGCTTCTTAGTGATTGTATATTTGTATTATGTATGTTTAATTTGATGGAACTCGAGCATAATATGATACATCGACGAAAGTTTGCATAGACAATACGATATTTTACTGTCTTCTTGTAGTGATACATATGTGAATGTACGAAACACTAGTCTATAGGAGCCTAGCTGTATTACTTACAACAACCCGGTACTCAGTGAGGCTCTGGGACAGCGGAATACTAAGAAACAAACGAGGTCAACAAGAAACGTGATGTGCTAGACAATAAAAGAGAATTAATAAAGAAGAAATCACTAGCGAGAGACAAACTCATTTTATTACTTCTACTGTCCTCTGTAACAAAACCTCATTACCCACACTGTACATATTTGAACCCAACACCTACAGTGTGCATTTTTTTGTACAATGCAAACATGAGAGAACTGGCAACTGTTGATAATTCTTGAATTATGATACTGCAGAAAGAGCGAACAGGATCTACTCATAATTTGGTGATTCCTAGATATTTCGCTACAAACACTCTAATTACAGCCATCACGTGGTAGATGGTAGGGTAATGCAGTGCTTTTTCATTGTCATCTGCCGTATGCCAGACTTTAGGAAAGGGTATCGGAATCAGATGGAGAACGGGTACTCCTGAAAAAAAATTAAATGCCACATAAGGACTTTTCATAGTCTCGATGCCATGTGCGCCAGTGCCGAGATCCAGCAGCGAACAGCATGAGTGGCAAGCTGCTCATCGCGAGCTACTGCAGAAAACAGCCAAACGTGAGAAGGCGCAGGCATGTACAGTCGCCATCCAGGCAGTTGATTAGGCGGTCGTCGAAGGGTCGCAGGCCCGGCTGCGGCAGCACGCGGTTTTGTCATTTTGACCCTACTTTTCACTGTTTTTGGCTGCTTTTCTCAAGGTTAGTTGTTCCTTGTCTTCACAAGGTGAATTATGATTGAGATTTCTCTAAGTTTTTGCGAACAATCAAACAGTTAAACGAGCAATCTAACCTGAAAAGATCGCAAAAACACTTCGACAAGAACAAAAAAATGAATCTTCTTCCTAATATACTTCATGAAGACAATAACACATCTTAACTTGAGAAAAAAAGTAGAAAATACAGCGAAAAATTAGGGAGAAAATGGCTAAACCAGGCTGGAAACAGCTGATCGCCGCGGTCGTGACGCGCCGCAGCCGCGTCTGCAACCCTTTGACTCTAATCAACTGCCCGTATGACGACTGTATCGCATCTCACTATGAAGTCGTAGGCTCAGTCGTGCGGCACCTTGCATCTGCGTGAATGGTTGCGCGTGGGATCCGAAAATGCACCTGACTGATATCACCCCCATATTTCGGCGCACTTTTGAGTGAAGCAGAAGCGGTTGACAGCTCTGAACCCGCACATGACAAGGATTGGAACCGTGGAAGAGGAGCGTATTTCTAAAGAGATGTGTTCAGCTCTGGGCTGATATAGGTAGATTCCATCATGAAACGAAGCCTTAAACAGCTCAAAAATAACTGACACAATTTGTCAGCGAAATGACGCACCTCGATTCAGAAATGGAACATGATCATCCTTCGGAGTAGCGCTAGTCTTTCGTGCGAGGAATACATCACGAGATACATAAGAACAGCCGAGGCGATGTAGTTCCTTCTCTTAAATTGACAGAAGTTGTGTGTCGTTTCGCGCAGAAGAAGTGTATTATGTAGTCTAGTTCGCTGCGGATGAAGGGGTGGGCCAGACGAAATGACTCTGGCGCGGTACCAACCCCTTCACCAGTTGTTGGAAAGAGCAAGTGACAAGACTGTATCATGCCATTCGTATCACTCGTTTCTACCAATTGTTGTCGCATACCAGCTTCAACAACTGGCAGAGAACGGGTTTTGCGCCGTGGCAGACTCATACTGCCTGACACGCCCCTTCATCGCAGCGAACAGAGTATACGTGCAACGACACTCTTGCTTGGAACACATTGTGGCATAAGTAAGAGTCAGCGGAATAGCGCAATGCCTAATTTGAACAACCTCTGCCAATCACAGACTCCGTTCTGTACCAAAAGTACTGTATCTTTACCAAATTAGCAAAACGTGTCTCAGACCTCGTTTTGAACACACATTTCATTTACTCACAGCAGAGCAGGCCCAAGCCGAACAAACTTGGTTAACCCTCACCTCTGCAATTTGCTGTGCAGGAAGCGAATGGAGGAGCTTTCACCTTTCGGGACTCGTTGCTTGCCAACTTGGTAAAAACGTGGAGAACTGACACGGTTTTATATCGGCTGTTTTCGTCATAAGTCATACAAATGGCTGTATACCCATCCAGAAACTTCAGCTTTTCTGAGGAGTCGGAGGCGCAGTGCATCTCGAAGAGGGTTATGAACATTTACCTACTACAGAAAGATTCTTTTCAACACTCAAACAATACTCTTACCAATTGAGGGCAAATAGTCGAACAACTCGGTTGCTCCCAGTCCCTTGGCATTCGGTATAGTAGGATTTGCAGCTCCGAGCAGATCGAGCAGCATAAGAACATCCTGCAATATTCTCCTTCCCTAATGAGAAAAGCGACCACCAGACCTCTCCTTTCCGCTTTGACAGCATTGGCAAGACCAGATTGATTCACTCAACAGATCAGTCTTGAAAGGAGCTGAAGTCACTCACTATCTTTTCTATTTCTCCGCTCTCTTCGAGCTTTTCGGCAAGATGGCGTGACCCGTAAAGAGAATCCGTTGCAGACCATTTCACAAAGCGCTTCCTCACCATCAAAGAAGATCATTTGTAGGGCAATGTCCTGCAAAATGGTTCACAGCGACATTTAAAATGATCGGTTGAAACACCGTGTAAGCACTCTGCCTCCAGGGTTTCCATAGGTGATCTAAGCTGGTTCGCGTACGTAGAACGGACCACCTTCGCTACTTGAAGCATATTATATCACTGGATGATTGGGATAACGATATTAGGGCGTTTGTCAACCCAACATTTTCGCTGCGAGGGTCCAGTAGCATTTTCTGACCGCACATATTGGTCGGAGTCGAAAGTTTGGAGGAAGAAGGAAAAGGAGAAGAGGAAAGAGAGATTTAAGCGACTAAGACATAGAGAAAAAAGAAAAAGGAAAGGAGGGAGGCTCCGCGGTTGGCAAGTATCAGCGAGGATGTCTTGTTATGCCCTTTAGTGCGCACACTGTCCGACATAAGAGGACATAAGAGCACATTTATGATAATTTTTCGTGAGAGGAAGATGCAGGGGAACGGGAGAGAGGAGGGGAGGGGAAGAGCTCGATAATCTCATCCGCGTATTACCGAGTTCGACCAGTCCGTGCTACACGTCCATGGAGACGAAACTGATCTATTTTTGTAGCGTATCATACCGTTCGTAACACCGTTCGGTATGCTGACGGAAATTTACAGAAAAGCTACCCCTCCCAAGGGGAATAGCATCAAACTTTCAGCTATCGCAACCTTCCAGCCTCACTGTGATGCATTTCCGAGTGGCACAAGTGGTACTGGTGTGGTTCTACAGTTGCTGACATGCACACCTTGCCTTTGCAAGAGTGAACTTAGCAAGTAAGAGCTGATCAATCCCTTCTGGTGTTCACTTTTTGCGATGGAAAACGTGTCCCACTTCGATCCTAGAGCGGTAGTAGGGTGCCTAAGTGCGTATGTGCTTTCATCCTGATAGAGAAATCTGATACCAAATGACTGACCACGACGGGTTGGATGTCTTTGTCAGCCAGGGCGGGAGTGGACCCGGGAACTGGCCCCGGAAGCGGTGATTTTTTTGCCGTCTATTAGCGGATTAACAGCTTGTTGGCTGCAGATGCCGGTCATTTCATGTGGGCTGGCTTTGACGCGATCCGCTTTGAGTCCTTCTCAACCAGTTGTGGAAGCTGGCAGGCGACCACAATGGTTGAAAACAGGCGGCAGCTGCCGTGCCAAAGCCAGCCCTCTGAAATGCCTCAACATCTGGTAATTTTTCTTCTTCACCAGTTATCTCCTAATACGTCAGACAGTCAGAAATCTGGGCATAAAGCAGTG